TATGGCTGCCTGAGCCCCGCCTCTGCTCTAGTTCCCTCCTGGCCGGGCCACTCCCTCCTCAGCCCCAGGGACCGTCCCCCCACCACGCCCTCAGCCCCCCTCTGCAGTGGGCCCCCTTCCCCTCAGTGGGACCAGATGCCCCGGGTGGGGAGGGCTGTGTGGGGAGGGCTTGGGTGTGTCTTTATTATTTTTAATTAAGGGTATGTTTTTATTGATTGTGGAGATAAAAGGAAGGAGAGAGAGCTAGAAACACCGCAATGAGAGAGAATCACACCCGCCCTGGGATCCAGCCCGCAACCCGGGCATGTGCCCTTGACTGGGATTGAACCTGGGACCCTTCCGTCCGCAGGCTGGCACTCTGTCCACTGAGCCACACCGGCCAGGGCTGCCTGCATACGTTTTTAGAGAGAACCCAGGAGCCCTCTCTCGTCCCCCAGCACTGTCCAGGGGACCCCCCTGAGGGACTCCCAGGACGGCAGGGGTGGCCGGGCAGGAACTCACTGGCATGCAATGGGCTGCGGGTTCCAAAGGGTTAGGGACTCCCTGGGGTCCAGGGTGGGCAGAGCGGAGGGGAGGGCAGGGGAGGAGTTGACTGCCCTGCAGAGGCAGGACTGGGAGCTGGACTGGGGCAGCAGCAGCCTGACTGGGGAGTGGGCAGGTGGCACTGAATTCTCACTGGGACCCTGTGAGAGCGGCGCAGCCCCAGCAGGACGGGAGGCACCTGGGACCGGGTCGCTGAATCTCGAAGCCCCACCTGGTGGAGACGGAAGTGGCAGGTGGGGCCCCCGTCCCCGTCCAGGTATGACCCCCAGGCCCACATGACCAAGGATGGAGGTCCCATCGGGCCCATTTCAATGTCCCTGGCAACAGGGGCCTGAACGTGTGGTTCTGGACCCGGGGGGGAGGGTCTCTACAGGAGGGAAGGGGACACAGAGCAGAGACCACGGGAGGGAGCTGAGCTCCCAGAATGTCCCGGTCATCTTGCCGGTCAGCGGTGTCCAGCGTGATCTCGGCGTCTGGTTTGGTGGCTGAGTGCCAGTCACCTGCTGGGCCGGGCCCCTGGGAGCGGGAGGCAGGTCCTGGGAATTGTACACAAAGGTGTAGTTCACCCACAGGTTACATATTTCCCACCGAGGCGAGTGCACGGAACGGGCAATCACGGGCCCGGGCGCCGGTCCTGCCTGAGCCCATTCACAGAGACAGGCTGGCATCATGGGTGAGCGTTTACTCTGATCCTGCCGGCACGTGGGGAGCAGCCGTCGCCCCA